CTCGCGTGTGTGTGTTGAAGCTCGTGTGTGTGTTGAAGCTCGCGTGTGTGTTGAAGCTCGCGTGTGTGTTGAAGGCTATACATGTTTGCTTCAGTAAATAGAACAGACACTATCTCTTTATCATAGATTCTTTTGTTTCATTAAAGTGTCTGCCTGTGTCTATTATTTCATTTTTTTATTGAGTTTTCTTTCGTCCCTTATCTTAAAATTCACTTAATTTGCCTGTTTCTGTCACAGCCTCCGTACTGATCAATCTTTATCACGCATGTTGCCAATTTGTAGTTTTAAAAAAGTCAATTCCTATCCCGGGTAATGAGTTGGCGTGAAACATATCCTGGGATTATTACTTCGATAAATCATCTAAACGACTAAAGAGCGTGTGAGGTATTAATTTTGAGACAGGAGTTACGCCAAACATAAAAATTAAGATTGACAGAAATGTGCTTGTGCTTTTAATTACGTCATGATCTAAAAACAACAGGTTGTAATTTATTCATATACACAAGATAAATATATAAATTGTTTATATATCAAATCAGATTTTTTTATTAATGTTAAATACTTTAAATTACTTTGTCTAATTTATCGTATTTATTTTTATACAGTAAGATTCACAGGTAAAGTATAAATATTGTGTTGTGGCGTATAGTATTAAGTTTGTCCAGTCATAGATACACTTCACCCAAACTATAACATGATAATATACATAAATAACTAGAGTATGTGTCAGTGTAATACATTTTATGGCCAACACCAGCGTTAGTTATATAATAAAAATATAAATAATATACCAAAAAAATATATAGCCGATGCAGTTTCGTAAATCATATGCGATTTATATAATGTATTTTTGGGGGGGGGAGGAGGGGGGGGGGCACAGGTAGCATTTATGTAAGAAAAATGAAGAATTGGTTCCTAAAACTCATTTTATGACCGAGCCATCCACTGGGTAGTTCGAGTATGTGTTAACCATGATATTAAGAGTTATGACCCAACAACCACTAAAATTGGCGAGGCTGGAACTAATGTTACGACCGGTCTACCTTCTCGTCACAAGTCAGGTCATGAAAAGGGCCACAGACCAAGTTGACCGCTGGACAATAAAGGTCAGAGAGGGCAGCATTTCATGACGTCAAACTGTTACGTCTCGCCTAGCCGACCGGTCAGCCACCTTGGATGGATTTTAGGATCACCAACTTCGTTTCGGATAATTTTCACTGCTAACTAGGGAGGGATGGGATGGTGTCGAGTCACTTAACCCAAAGCTCAGTGTTTTAAGTGGTACTGTCACAGCTTCCGAAATAAACAGTAAACCCCTACACACTCACTTATACTGTATGTTGATAAGAAAGGTTACTTCGTACGCCACATGTGAGTTCTCCCCAGAGCCAACTCTTTCTCCAACCTTGTAACATTAAGTTTCCCTAATAATAAATTAAACTCGTACATAATATAAGGTAAGTTTCGTAGTCTCCACTGTGTCCTCCACCTTGTTATACGTACAGTAGAGTCCCCAACAAACTGGACACATCTGGTAGCATCTGAGGCAACAAACACATTTAATGGCCAAAAATCATACATATAAGTAAAACAGTTTCTTGCTTCATACAACACGGGGTAGGTGACTAAAACATTGTGACACTATCTGTATGTTTGTATGAGTACAGTAGTGCTGCCAGACGTGTCCAGTGTATTTTGTCGGTGACTGTACATGAAAATTCTTAACACTGCATGTACAGTATATGCAATGGGTGATATTATCTCAACTTGATAGCAATATACAGAGGCTGGGGTTATTAACAGCACCATATACCGGTGTGCGATTGAAGACAATTATGAACGAGGAGTTGAAACTAACACCCAACAGTCCTGGCCAACACACTCCTTACGAGAGAAACTTGAACTGCAGTGTAAACTACTACAGGTTAAACTGTTATGGTGAGATAAAACACATCTTACCCATTGTAAATTGCTATGCAAATCTCCACTGAAATATGCATGATTGTGATGCAAATAAATTCTGGGCTTTAACATTTTCTGCTAAGAGTTATGCCACTCCAATATAACTGGTACTAGATAGAGACCAGTCTTTATACGTTTTCCAATATATTCAGTATTGCGAGGGGCAGCAGGGGTAAGTTGCATTCCACGATGTCTCCTGCTACACGCACTCACTACTGGGGTGAATAATAATACCATTTTGGGGTGATGTATAACTGGTCTTTTTTTATAAGCACTAAGCTCGTAAATCCTACCGGACTTGAAATATAACTAGGGCAATATTGCTGCGTAAAGGTATAAAGGAAGTAATTTATATTAATAGACGCGTGTTATACCCTGAGTGTGAAGTTGACAAAAGGGGAGAGGGAGGGAGGTGATGGCTTTATGTGCCGGAGTAATACTTGGTCGCTGTTAGATGACGTGTGGGCGATGATCAGAGGCGGCACCGAGGCGTAGATCTACCAGTGATTACACGCCAGATGTACACAGAGAGAAGTGACACAACACACATCACATAAATACATAATATCCAAGATGATTCTCAAGACGGGCGGACTGACGGACGGACCAGCGCAAAATATTATCAAAAAACGAAAAGTCAATCATAAAATTATCTCAAATTATACATCTCACTTGAAATCTTTACCAACGACCATCACTGAACCAAATAAAACAAGCCAGGTATTTAATTCTGTACCCGGAGGACCTAAAATACAAAAAGAGCAACAAACTACTTGTGTTATGAGTTATAGCTGCCACCTTGATCAATAACTACACACAACTCAACACACTGTAATGGACGGACAGCCACGGTCGCCCCTTCCAAAGTACTATAGTGGGGGAAATTACCTAGAGGATAGTAGGATAGTCTAACCATATCCATCGTCCCTGTGGCGATTCACATTTTGTCCTTGCAGAAAACAGTCACGAATCTATCACTGTTATTTAGAGTTTAATAATCTGCATAATATCCTGAAGCGTTTTCTTTTTCAATTCTCTATTCGTGTATTGTGATTCTTTCTTCTCTGGATTCCTTTCAATAAATTCAGTCTGTTGGTTCTTATGAATGATGAGAAACTTTGTAGCATGGGGCGAGCTACCACATGAAGAGGATGACTACTGACCTGTGGCATTAACTTATTCTAAGGGACATAGGCACTGTTAAAACACCAAGCGGAACATCCTCCCTCTCTCGTTCATGATTCCTCACAACTATCAGAGAAACTCCCTCCCCATGTGAGTCTTTCCCGCTATACCCGAGGCTCTGAACACATGAGTGAGGGGTACAACGGAGCCTTCCTGCCATACATTATTATACTTGTGATGATTTTTATCTTAGGAAAACTTAGCTTCAGTAGAGGACACGACAGCTGAGTTATATTGTTAATCTCGTCTCCTCTGCATCCTTTTGCTGTTTTCATAGTAGTGACAAAATTAAGATGAATGTAACTATAAAGACCTCAAAGCAATGTTTACGAAGTACATACATGTATGATTATATACTTAAACTTACATATTGGTATAGCTGCCCAATCTAGAATATTTATGCTGGAGGAAAAAAGAGCGAGAGGAGAGCAAGGCGAGTTTTATCCTGGCGGCAGAAAGTGAGACAAGAATGGGGGAAAATATGTCATGGTGTTTCTCTTCCATAAATTCCAAGCGCGTGCAGGCGTTGCCTCAGAGGGAAGAGTTATGGATTCAAATTGCATAGTAAGTAGTATTATTCTCAAAACTCGACCACCGGAAGGACATAAACAACAATAAATAAATAAACGCATAAATGCATGCATGCACGAGCGTGCTTGCGTGAGTGCTTGTGTATATACGTCTTAATCTAAACTTCTAAAGAATAGCGACAGGTCGATGTTGTGAGACGATAATGATACTGACTTCAGAGAAATAACATCATTATCCTAACCTAACCGAACCTAACCTAACCTGATCTGATTTTCGTACAATTTGGTTACGAAATGACATTAAACGATGTATTAAATGAAACAGAACAAATTTTTACCTTAAACAAGTACCTAATACTTCTCTTTTGCTCTATCTCACTGGTCTTTTCCCCAGGTTTAGATACAGATCAGTCTCTTAAATATTTCTATGTTATTCACCTGCCCGGATCAACACGCTGCCTCAGATACACACGTGAAGCAAAACCTCCCCACGAGTGCCAGGATGTATAGTGTAGTATTAACAACAGCTTGAGGCACTCTGACCTACTGCGTCCTAAGCCAAACTTGTCTTACTTTTCTCTTATACAAACACAGAATATCTTCCCTATTCCATCTCCTTCCGGGTCATGGTTCGACATTAGTCCCCGTTTTGTAGTAACGTCAGAATCTGTCCTGTCATTGTTGGACATTATCTTATTGGTCCAAGTGTTTCGTGGTTAAAGTCGAGAAACTTATATAGAATTTATATATCAGGAAATCTCTATAAACACATGAGGATATCTCTGTCAATCCCGTGTTGTTTTGCTGAGAATAAGTTCCTTCAACTTATTAACATGGAGAGTTTTAGATCAAGAACGCCATATATAAATTTGGAAGCTCTGTTGAATGAGGTTTTACGACAACTTTGTCTCTTTATCCCCACAAGTGCTCTTCTTTAAGTCACTGTGCTTGTGTAAAACTTGTGTCCTCGGGTTGATCTAGAGTATTGCGAAGTATAGCGTCGTCCCGGCATACTCTACAGATAAAGTTCGGTGCTAAATAAACCTGGTGATGGTTGGGTTACCTCAGGCCCCAGTAACCTATAAAGTGTCCATGAGGCTCTATAAAGAGAGCTCTGGGGGGCTCTGTAAACCCAATGATCCGCGGGTTGGCCGAGCATTGATCCAGGGGTCAGCCATAACGTCAAGCCGCGTGCTGATGTTGCCATAAGACCCTCGTCATATTCCCCGTAATTGTGTCGTTTCTGTCGCCTGGGCTGACCGTAATCTCTCCCCCCACCGCTCCACCCTCTCACCCGTTCATTCTCTTTCTCTCCCCACAGCCGTGTACAAGTCCGCGATGGCCATGGTGCAGGAACGCGCGCGCCTGCCCTGTGACGTCACCTCTACGCTGGCCAATGACAGAGTAGTTCTCATCCTCTGGTATCGTGGCTCAGCTGGTACGCCTATATACAGGTAAGGTTGTATTATTTTTTTTTCAAATGTATAAAATAAGATGAAATAAGTAAATAAAGTAAAAATATATATCGTGTTTGGGAGCATTTTTGCGTTGGGGAATTCTTCGTGTCAGTTCACTGTATGCATGTGAGAGTTCCATCAGTGTAGGAGGATCATTAACAGGTGAATCTTGTGGTAATGTTCACTGCTGCTGAATTACTTATACAACTCTCTCAATATGACAGTGATGTGTGGTACAGGTGTGGTAGAGGTGTTAGTGTGGTTGTCTACACAGGAGGGAGGAGTGCAGGTTATTTACACAGTACATAATACTGGTATTTGCGCTTCTTATATTACCGAAGAAATAGTTAACGGGATGGGTTGCTAGTAACATTATTTACACCACAAATAAAGAACAAAATATCCAGGATTAAGCCACCATGTTCTGGTACAATTTGATTATATAGTTACAAATTATACATACTTACACACTTATGTATTGTATATTTCTATCAATATATAAACCGTTATAGGAATGAAAAAAAAATTGTTTTGATGGAATTCTTGTGAAAAAATCGATGATGTGTTATAGGTGAAATAAAATCATTGATAGACCACATGGCGTCCCGACTATAACTTTCCAGGTTTATGATCGTCATGCGTTTGGATTCGACTACTCTCGGTATTTTTTGCGCAGTTTCATTTCGTCAGAGCATTTGATATTTTCACCAGTTGTGTTACCCGAAGCTTTCAAAACTTTTGGTAACATTCATCGTCTAAAAATTCCAATGTTTTCAGTTTTCATCGCGCGTCCTGACAGCTTACTACATCGCGATTCTTATAATGCAGGACAAATATATTATCGTTTTGATTATTGAAAAGTAATAGTATTGATTATATTCATATTATCTTCCGTTCAAATGTTTCACAGATAATGTTTCACAGATAGACATTCTACTTATGTTTTTGTCGAGCTGTAAATGTGTAATACTTCTAGAGTATTATTTGTGTTCCTAAAAATTATCATACATTGACGTCATTCAGGCTTTTTCTTGACTATAGTCCCTTTATTAAAACTTAAAATTCGTTTAATTTAAGTACAATAACTAATTTAGTATTTTCCCTATATATAATTCCTATTTGTGTTATAATATTTTCTTAAGAGGAAGGGATAATTTTTTTACCCATTTTTGCCCTGCCTTACTGCGCCTTCCCCCCAGCACCACTCCACTCCCAGCAGAACCCCCCACCCCCTCTCCCGTTCCACCCATCTACATTACCTTTACATTCGATAACAAATGCCTCTCGCTTATCCGCCGCCCCTGATGCAAACATTTACACGTGAGCGAAACTGGTAACGTTCTCCCTGACCATATATCTTCAATGACGGGCTTCGTGACAGTGAATTTTATTGTGCTCTCTTTCTCTCTCTGTCTCTCTCTGTTTTCCTTCTTGCCCCTCAATTCCCCTTCCTGTCTCCTCAATTTCCTTCATTTCTCCTCCACCTCCTCTTTCCTTGTCCTCCTACTATTTTCTTATTTCCTTGTCCTTCTTCTCTTTTCCTTCTCCTCCTCTCCCTTTCTCCTCCTCCTCTCCCTTCCTCCTGGTTCTACTCGTGACCATCTCTGATCCTTCCTCAAGCACTCTCCTCTCTCGGCCCCCCCTTGTGTTCTCGTCCTGCCCCCCCCCCTCCTCCTCCTCCTTCTTCCCTCCTCTTCTTCCTCTTTCCTTGACCACCATCCATCCCTCTTCCTCTCGTTCTTGCATACCTGTCTTCTCATTATTTTTTTCCTTTTTATTCCGTCTCATCTTCATCACCAAAATGCCACCATCATCACTACCACCACCATCACCACCATCACGATTGCTAATAACCACCACTATTAGTTTTACCATCACCACCACTACTACCAATATCAACAACAATTCCATCACCACCAAGCTCCCATAACTACCACAACTACAACCATTGCCATCATCACCCACATCATCATAACAAAAACAAACAACAACAATCATCAACCACCTATTACAAACACAAAACAAAAATATCCAATACTAACAGCATCAAAAAGGAGACCGCGAACATCAAACACTGTACCGCGACACAATAACACCCACAACACTATACCACCACCACTACCACAATTGCACTAAATGACTGACCACCAGACCACCACCACAACCAACCTCTCTCTCTCTCTCTCTCTCTCTCCCCCCTTCTGACGTCGCAGCCACAATCACCACTAACCTCCATTACTCTAAATGACTCTCTTTCTCTCCTTGCTCTCTTGTCTCACTTCCTCCTTCCTTCTTTTATTCTTCTTTCTTCCACTCCCTATCATACTGAATGTTCCCGCCTCTTTGTTTCTCTCCACTACGAACAACATTACCCCGTTAATTTCTCTTCCTTATTCTCTTATTCTTCTCTCCCTCCTCCTCTCCTCTTCTTGTTGTTGTTCCTCCTCGTCCTTCTATTCCACCACCTCCTCCTCCATTTTTTCCCCTCCCACTCCCTCCTTGTCCTCTTCCTCCTCCATTAATTCCCCTACCATCCCTCACTGCTCCCCTCTCTCCACAATACCCTGCCATTTACCCATCACCTCCGCCCGTTATGTATAAGCCCCTGCCTGCTCCCTGCTGTAGTGCCTATGATCCACCCACCACCTCGGGTTGTGTTCTGTTGCCTTACATCAACAACTTTGGTCATTGCTCCTCGTTTTACCCTCCACCAGGAAAGTGTGTACTCACTCTCTCTCTCTCTCTCTCTCTCTCTCTCTCTCTCTCTCTCTCTCTCTCTCTCTCTCTCTCTCTCTCTCTCTACTGTATGTATCTACCTATGTCTATCCCTTTATCTACTCTATCTCATCATATCTACATCGGTCTCTCAGTCTTCGTCTCTCTGTCGGTCGGTCTTTCTCTGTTTGGAGGGTCTCTGGCTGCCTGAATTAAACATAGATGGATTTTTCTGCACACACACACACAAAGACGACACGGATCAAGCAGCATCCTGGTGAATTGCAGATGAGGATGAAGCTGAATTTTTTCTGTCATGCTTAATGTCTCAAAGAGCCTTAGTTTATGTGTGTATATATACCCTTGGTGCATACATTTACGGTGATATATTTACTTGGTGCCTCACTTCTACGTGTTGTATACTTCTCAACGTGTTATTTTGGTCGTGGTGTTGATATTATTCATCGGCTGTATTTATTTCATTCATTGCTGTAAGAATTTTCGACTATGTTACAGTTTTATGGAGACGTTTCCCTGTTGACTTTAAGCTATTGCTGATAGGAAATATCTTCCTAATCCTCTGGTGTGTGTGTGTGTGTGTGTGTGTGTGTGTGTGTCACGCATACAAGTTAAATAAGCAGATATATTTCGAGTGACAATTTTCTTCTTGCTTGCTTAAGTCTACAGTACATGTGGAGAGAGAGAGAGAAAGAGAGAGAGAGAGAGACACGCACACACCTTCTTTATGGATTACTGAACACATTTCTTGTCAAATAAATGCTTGAACTTACCCACATCACGACCATACACTAACACAATGAAGTCGGTGGCTGCCGTGACCTCCAACACCGCCATGACATATATACTGTATTATATATAAGAATATACTTCATTGCTTCCGACCATTAGTGGGAATGGTCACTGGGGTCCACAACGACGACAGAAAGTGAGGTCTGTGGTCAACGACAGCGGGAGGCCGGGCCCCAAATACTCGTATAAAAAGGAGCATTACTGATGAAATACTCCCCGGGTCTCTGGCTGATGGTCGCGGGAACAGTATTTTGGTCTATAGGGTTACCAGTGTGTGGGTGCCGAGTGGTGTACGGTGCCTCGTGTAGAGTCACCAGTGTGTACGTTACTATGGCTCGAGCTGTAAGTGCGCACAGAGCCACAGATATGTCAAATATAGTGGACAGCAACAATATACACTATAGTATACAATGTATATCCAAAACAGAGCCAGCAGCATATACAATAGTGCGTATAGAACAAATTGTGTGTACATTAGAATGCACAGAGCCATCAGTATGTACAGTCAACCTTAAATGTATTGGTATAACAACATTGATAACAAATAGATTGCAACAAACTGGACTGTAATACCGTACGAGGGTTGGCACTACTGGCACATGTTTGTTCATATGTTGGTCCTATTAGAGGAATATAAATACTAACACAATTGCCTCAGTCTTCCTCACAACGTTCACAACGTAGTTTATAGTCGAGGTATTTGATTTTTATTTACACATTTTAGTTTTTCGAAGATTACGTCGCATGTATTCGTAGTTGGGAGGGATACCATGAATTTGAGAAGATTTTGTTGACAAAGGCGTTTATAGCAGCAGACTGAAGCTTACTACCCAGTCAGTTGCCGATTCTCATTTTATCGCTCTGCCGGAAAATTTATTTTCTCGTCAAACTTTTTTTGTTTTTGTTTTTTAAATTAATCTCTAAGATTTAAGTAACGTGATAGGTCATTGAGTGTGTTGACTAACTGAAATCTCGCACTCTATCCCTTCATGTTAATCAAGACCAAACTGATGACCAATCGATTTTAAGTCAATACTATTATTAATGCAGGTTATTATATTATAAACTGTTTCGTACTTTCTTGAAACTTTCCAGTTTCCTTCTCCGTTCGTCAGTATATCATGAACTGGTGTCAGAGAAATGTGGGAAGGTACAGGTGTTTGCCGAGCTGAGCAGGACGTTGATCTTACCAGGGGCCACGAGCGGTCTTGGCTTTAAAAGGTAGACACACACATGTAACTCTATACTCAGAAACACGCCAATACTATTTCATACATTCGAGTGTTTACAGCTACCAGATAACACAATAGATTCGTCAGCGGGAATAGGAAGTGTATGTAGACGCCAGACTAGACAAAACAAGCCGACATTATGTACAGTACAACGAATTTTCTGTGCAGTGTATAGAGCCACTGATATGTACAGACGAGTGGACAGTGTATCAGTACATATATATTAAAAAAAACAAAGTT